ATTCTCGGGAGCTGGAAGCCAGCAGGCTCACCGGAACCCTAACAGGGCCTGGGTTGAAGTACGGGGGAGGGGTCAGGACACAGCAGGCAGCCCTGGTAGGCTAACTAACGCTGGAGAAGTGGCTGGGGAGTACTGCTCATATAGCAGCTGCAGGCCTGCTTCATAGAGGGAGGGGCAGGCTGAAAGCTTGCTCTGCCTGTTGGGTATGCAAATGAAGGTCTCAGACCCCCCTTTCTGGTCTTAGCCACTCGAGGGTGTCCCCTCCTTTCCTCAAAAAGGCAGCAGTGTGGTGTGAAGTGGCTGGAACTGGGCGAGAGTGCCACACTTGCGTTGGAGGGGAGATCGATGGTTTGACAGCCAGGGAGGACACAAGCAAACTGTCCCAGTCTGCTGGGGGCGAAGGGAACAAAGAGAGGCAACGGGAAGGGGCGAGGCATCCATCTGCCACCACGACCCCTCAGCCTGCTTGGGTAAAATGAGAAAGTCAGGTGTCCGGCTCACTAAGGTTTTGAGGTCTAAATTAGACAATGGCTCTTACTCTCTCAAGCCTATGGCCTTAGCCTGCCAAGTGGATGTGACTATAACCGTCTGACCCCAGGCCTGGCTTAAGCATGATCTTTCACATGGACAACTTAAAATATGTTTCATTTTCACAAGAATATAACTTGAAAGTTTTATTCCTTTTTTAATTAAGGACTTTAAAAATCATTTATCTTTTTTGATCTTTATTGCTTCTAAGAAGAAGCCAGGCATATCCTCAATGTTGATTCTCAGAATGCAGTGTATGACCTTTCTCCAGTTGTTGACAGGATTCCATTATTGTCTTTGTTACATAATAGGTACTCAAAATGGATTTGCCTTCCTTTGTCTCCTGTCACTTTCCTGGTAAAACTAGAGTGACAGACTCATTGTATGTCCTTATACAACTTTGTGGCATTTCACACAGCATTGCTCCTACACAAGGAGCTTGTTTCACAGGAAGGCAAGTGTGATGATGAGTGAAGCCGCTTGTTATGAGTAAGGAGGTTATGGGATGGGTCGGAGAGCAAGCAGTCATAAAAGCCAGCTACAAGCACATGACTGTGGAGACAAAGAGCTCAATAGTTATGAAATTTTCTTTCCATTTTGGTACGGTTGCTTTCTCCCTATTTGCTTGTGTGTATTAGAGGAAAGTTCCGGTCAGCCTGCTGGCTTCCAGCTCCGGAGAATCCACTGCCAGCATGAGATATGATCATCAGAACTACTCTTATATTCTATTATATTTCAGTATTGAAGCTTCAGGATAAAGATAGAAAAGTGTGACTCCTATCAAATATATGACCATCATTCCTTGTATATATACAAAATATTATATATATAATATATGTTCATATATGCTTTTATGGAGAGTTAAATCATATTGCTAGGAAATATGATTGCTCTATTGCCTTTATTTCAGCTTTTAAGCACTGTTACAGAAGGTGTATATGCCAAGTTGACAAGAGGGTGCTGTAGTAGACTTGTACTGTCTCAACTTAACTTTTTGGAAATAAATTACCCAGAATTTGTTTCCTTGTGCTGTTCTGGTTTGGGGCTGGTCATAGAAGAAATGATGATGGACATGTAAGTCATGTGTGATAAGCAGCTATTTCTTACATGCTCTGCAGATTCAGAGCTCCGGACTCTGGGGACGATCAGACCTGTGTGTGCTGATCTGCCAGCTCTTCTTCCTGTTGACAAACTCCATCTCCCATCACACCTATTCTGTAAGCTTCTCTTTGTCTCGAGCCAAGTAAGTAAACAGCATGATGACAAGTTATATTACTTCTCCTGAAGGTCTCCCACTAAATAAGACTGAAGGAAGAGGGACAGGTAAGTTTTAGTTTGCTTTTCTAGTTTCCATTTGTCCTCATGGGTCCTACCATATCCTTATAAGTCACAGTTCCTCCAGGTTCTTGTCTTCATTTTGCTTTTTTCCCCAAATATGAGTCTAGCTGACTGTCAGTTAAGGCTTAATACAAGGTGTAACAAAGACTCCCCCATCTGCTCCAGCAATGACAAAGTCCTCATAATTATTCTCTTACTCTAAATCACTCATAGAGGTTCTGCTTTTCTGACTGTATAAACTGATATAAAACCTAAAGGAAAAGAACTACAAAAACAATTTGCATTGCTATTTTAGGTAACCAGATCCAGATTTGAGCTGTGAGCACCCTAAAGTGAAGCCAACATTTACAATAATTATGAGACAAGGTTTTCAACATTGGAAAACTTCATGTTCCATATAATCTATTTTTGACTAAAAATTCAAGACAGAATTATTAGAGGAAAGTTGCTCTTGACAACTGTTTCCAAATAAGTCAGAAGTAGGTTTTAAGAATGAATTTTCTGATCCAGACTACAGATGAGACAGCAACCGTGCTCCCTTCATGTCGGGGTTCTGAGGTTTCAATTTCAGTGGGGCTCCTGAAGCAGGGCCCATCTCTTATGGAGCTCCTGAGCTTTTGCTCATTTCTTACTATCACTTCAACCACAGTGAGTTCCCTAAGAGCACAGAAATATTTTGCTGAGTCCTTTATCAGTAAGGGTGAAATGATAAGACTGACGGAGTTAGAATCTTACAGAGTAGCGATCACTCCTGGAATTTGCACTATTTCATCTCTGATAAAGGGGGGAAATCACTTCTCCACTGTGAAGTTGCTTGTACTGAAAAAGGTTGTAGAAGCTCCAACTTGTCTCATATGATCAGTCTAGGGTGCTTGCTTTCTACACTTGCCTGGATGTGACTGGCTGGACTTGGGTTGCTCTCTGGGCCACACTGGAGCCTGTACAAACACTCAGAAAACAGAGCTTATCCCTGATGTACAGAGTAAAACACTGTAAGAAGTAGACTAATAGAGGGTCCAAAGAGAGGTCAAACTGAAGTAACTGTACCTGCTTTTCTCTCATCCTCCTGTAGTCTTTCCTCACCAGAAGCACCATGTGCCTGTGTACAGTCCTTTCATCCTTATCAATCGTGACTACATGTGGACCACTCATAGCCAAGTAGAAGGCCAGGGACACCCACAGCAGGCTGGGGCATGGCTTGTGGCCACACAGTGTGTTTTGTTCTGTCTCGGGCTCAAAGTTCAGGGTCTTTGAGTGGCTAGCTGTGTACATAGATAGTTCCTGGATTTTTATGCTGTTTCCTAGATGGGAAATGGAGTTTCTTATGTTCACAGACCATAAGGGACACCTTAGAAAAAGTCTGGTTTGCCCAAACTACTACTCTATCTACTTATCTCTCAGTGGGAGTTAGGTTGGAATGGACTTCAAAGGGAACCTGTGGAGTTCCCTGCAGCACTCAGCAGCTTACCATCTGCTCCTTGCCTCAGGGAGTACAAACTGCTGACCCTGAGGAGTTGGAACACCTTGAAGACGAGATGTTCTGCCAAGATTGGGCAGAGACGAGCCTTGCTGGTGAAACAAGGAGGAACATCCTAGGAATAAGTTAATAAAGTTAACATTGGCATAATTGTCATGGTGCCTTTGTAATCCAAAATATGCATCCGGGTTCAGCAGAACAAAATCCCTTGTTTGTTTCTTGATAAAACCGGGAGTTCAAGTCAGTTCAGGACTCCACTCCAGGGGATGCCTCTGACACCCATCGAAGATATTCTCTGCCTCTCCTGTCTTCCTTCATCTCTCTAATCTGGGTTTGCTGGTCCAAACCCAACAGGGACTTGAGGACTCACCGCTAACACCAACCCTCAGATCAGGTGTTACATGGGCTCTCCTTCCTCCCAGATGCTCTTATTTATGAGTGAGCCCTCCTTTCTGAAGGTAACATGTCCTTAAATAGACACTAACTTAGAAAGTATTTCTACCTCTTTGTCAACATGTGATGGTTCTTTATTATTCTTAGCAAATGTGAGAGGGGGTGTAGTGGTATCTTATTGTGATATCTACTTGCATTTCCCTGATGACGCAGATGTAGAGCAGAGATAAATACTTCTTTCCATATAGGGCAGATTATTAAATCTTTTCAGCTTTATGAGTCATTCAGTGTCTGTTGTACTCAACTCTGTCACTGCAGCCTAAAAAAACATTGATCATACAGAAAAAAGTGGCACTGTTTCTTCCAGTTCAACTTTATAAAAAAATAGGGGAATGCTTGGATTTGGCTTGTGGGACACATTCTGTTGAGTCCTGAGGTAAAGAATTTTTCCTTGTGCTTACTCATCATTCACATATATCATTTTTTGAAGAATGTGCTCAAACATTTTCCCCTATTTTTAAATTAGGTAATTTGTTCTCTCTTTTAAGTGTTTGTAACTCTTTACATAATCTTTATTTTATGATTATTATATTTTGAACTATATAGATTTTCAGTTATTTGCTGGCTTGTCTTCTTGATTTTTTTTTTGTTTGTTTGTTTTTGGAGTTCTGGGGATTGAACCCAGGACCTTTGGCATGGTAGGTAAGTGTTCTATCACTGAGCCCCAGCCCCAGCTGTTTTCTTGCTTTTTAAAAAAATGTCCAAGAGCTTTGCCTAGGAAGTTCAAAGCCATGCTGAAAAAATTTAAAGAAAGCTTAATAAATGAAAATATATGTCATATTAATGAATTATAGACATATTAATGACATTATAATTCATATTAATGAATTCATATTCATTCATATTAATGAATTATAGTGAGAAGAACATGATTGAGACTTTGTTAAATGGAACATATATGTTATTGTTTTTTTCCTTACATCTATCTATCATAAAGGAATGTACAGTGAATTTCTTCTTTCCTCTGCTTCCTGCAAGGGTGGGAGGCAAGCATATTATCCGTCCTTATCCCTGGGGACATGGAGCATAAGTGGAACTGAAAGTTCTCGAAATGCCCAGCTCAGCTACATCGTGGTCAATAGCATCTTTGTCTGAATTACTCTTCCCTTCAGTTCCTTTTACTTTGTGTTGTTTTGGAGTCTAGCATTCTCGAGATTAAATTTGTAATTTGATTCAGTCTTTTTATCAGATACTCTACCAGCCCCAAGTTTAAAACTTTTATTTCAGGAGGATGCATACATTGAAAAATGGAATTAAAAACCAAAGTCCCAGACCTATACAGTCTAAAATATGTGCTGTTGAAACTGCCAGTGTAAGTAACACCAAGTTGTACAGATGCTGCTGTGGTGGATCTTTGATGTGCTTGTGGCTGGCACAAGGCTAAGCCCAGCTGAGGGTTTGTATCCTTGGGAGCTCTGCGCCCCACAGCACAAAAATAAGCAGGTGAGTCTTTGTTCTGGGAAGAAGAAATAGACAATGAGCTGTGGTGTTCTTTAGTGACTCTTATGGCCTTTAATCGCCATTCTGCTTTGTCCCTAAAGGAAAGTAGAACAGGTTGAAGAGACATCCCCCAGGATCTTGATGAAACTGCAGCACATTGTTCACTTTGATGGAAAAATCACACCATAGTATAGAGCTGGCTCCCTCCTGGAGGACCAGGGCTGATGGACTCTGCTCCACCTGAATCCCTCTCACACCTGAGAATGAAGGGAAAAAATCACAGCCAATGTCACTCAACACCTACAAAGCCCAGAAAATGCTCCCAACAATCACAGAAGGGTGAACATCTGCAAGATGGAGCTTCTGTCCCCACTGTCCTCCAGGTGCTACAGATGCAAAATCCTTTCACATTCCTGAATCTGAGGAAGTTCAACTTACAGTAAACCTAAGTGCTCAGAAACCCCAGCAGAAAGGCCAAGAGATGCTTCATGACACTGGTGTGTCAGGTGGATGTATTTCACCAGCTCTGGAGTGTGAGTATCAGGAGTTGGGTCTTTAACTCCTTCTGCACTTGAAGCTAATCTTCTCCATGGAGAACTGACATGGTTGAGGCCTCCACAGATCTCTTTGCAAGAAGCCCCTCTCTATCTAGGCTTGCAGAGAACCTGGGTGGGACAGGGGAGAGAGAGAGGAGACAAAGTCATTTTACAGGAGAGACATTTTCCCATAATCGTGATAAAGGGGAGGACTTCTTCAGAGAAGAACTGCATCAGCTGTGCAGAGAATGTCATGAAGAGAACATCCACATGCTCAAACCCAGAAAACTGGTGTGTGTTATGACCCTACTGACGTATGAATTAATTTAGGTGAAAGTCTTTTCAGGAATACCAAGTACTAGGGATTCAAATGTCATACAGGAAATGTTATGGAATTGTCATTATTGGAATTTTTAAAATTATGCAACAGCTCTCCTTGAATAATCAAGATGCATGGCAAAAATTATTAAAAGAAATGATTTTACTATTCAGCTTTTTTCACTCTCTGGTAGCTGGAAATGACTAAAACAATGTGGAAGGTCAAGTGCAGAAATGACTGTGTAAGGGGTAGGAGAGTTGGGGAAAATTTATCCAGTGGTATTCTGTTACAATCGTATAAAAGCAATGGGCTATTGTGGATAGATAATTGTAGCACACTATGTATTTCAAAATACAGAAGAAAAATATTTTAATATTTTCACTGTAAAGAACTAATAAAAGTTTGAGGATACAATTCTGTTTAACCTGACTTAAATATTATAATATATATTGTATGAAAATATATATATTAATATATATATTAAAATATCACTGGTCTACCTTTACTATGTACACATATTTTGTTTTTATATACCAAGTAAAAATAAATATAATGAAAAGATATAGATAGATAGATAAATGATAGATAGATAATGTGTATAAATATACATATGTTTACGTAAATGGCCCTAAAAAGCCTGTAAGTTTTAAGGAGGAAATAGAGTAAATCCAGGTACCATTCTCCATACTGCTTTGGGTGATACTTTTAGTTTTCCTAATTCTTATCCTTCCAATCTCTCATGCTTGAAGTTCAGTCAAGGCCTTTGCACTTATAATTCCTCTGTCTTCCTCTTTTCTTCCTACTTTCCTTCTTTATCTCATTTCAATTTTCATATCCGCCCTTTTCTTCTTACCATTGTTTATTTCCAGCTACCAGAGAGTGAAAAAATGAATATTAAGGGAAACACAGCACTGTATTTGAAGTCATTTCAAACCTGTGAAATAGAGTTCAGCTTTACCTCATAGATGGAAATAGTAGGTAATATAATTTTTTAAAAATAGAATAAAGAAAAATCTACCTTGTGTTCTTTGGAATTCTGTTTTCTTTACATGATTCCTTGTTTGAATTTGAAATATTTTTAATGTACTCAGATAATAGTGTAGGTAACATTGTAATAACAATGTACATTTAAATATAAGCATTGTGGTTGTAACCTTTGAGAATTAAATCAGGGAAGCATCTCCCATTCAGTCACTGATCCCTTGTTTTAGAAAGTGGTAGACCTGTGAACTGAAAATAATAGTCAATAAAAAGCAGGTCCTTGTTTGCTAATGATGACTTAGTTTGTCCTCTCACACACTCACCCCACTTTACCATCACTCGCCCTCATTGCCATGTTCAGAAAATTTCTCACAACTCTTCCCTAGTAGATCCAGTTTAAGAATTACAGTTTAAGAATCTTTGGTGCCTTGTGATTGGCTGAACCTGAAGGAAAGACACTCTTCCTTACACAGCTCAGCTCATCTGTTCTTCCCAGGGCTGTACTTGTGAATTAACTTAAAAGCAATAATAATCTTTAGGATGGACAGTAGCATACTTAGATCCATAAATCTCTGTAGCATTTTTTTATGAAAATAAGTGCCTGTGTAATAATACAGCATTCTTACCTATGAACTTAAAGAAATATGAGCACTCCAGTACATGTCAATCCAATTTAGCCAGTGTATTCAAGAATGTTCTAGAACTGAGGAAATACAAAATGAGTTGCACACTGTATCTTCCTGCATAGAGTTTATGATGAAGTGCTAACACACTCCACATCTAGGAAAATTATCAAGATAACCCGTCAGATCTTCTTGTAACTTTAACACAGTTCCAATTTAAGACAGTATTAATCTAGAATGACTGAAAGGTTAGCAATCCAAAGTATTGTTTTGATGCTGCATCATTTGGTCATGTAGAGTCCTCACTGTAAATGAATTAAAGCTAATAATATATAATATAGTTGCACCTTGCTTAGATTTTGCAATTTAAAATGAAGCATATCATATTTTATATTTCTAAAATGATGTTTAGCATTGAACTTAAAGTAGATAATTTAAAAAATAAAAGTAGAAAATAGAAAAACAATGAAAAATCTATTACTCAAAGACAACTAATACTGGCACAAATATCAAAATATTATGCCTTTTTATTCACACATTATGGTGAATGTCACTTCATTCCCATCTTAAACAAAAATTATCCCAGTATTTTTTATACATTTTTATGTAATTGTGGTAACATTATAGTTTTTTCTCCTGTGATATTCACCATGGGGCATAGAGCAGAGAAAGTACAGACTTTCAAGTCAGACCTGATTTCAAAGTCTGTGAAATTTTTGTCTTGGTGAGTTTGGAAGAACCTTAATCATTCTGGTCTTGTATTCCTAATCTGTTAACTGATAATAATGACCCATGGGAGCTCTTTCACTCACTGATAGTTTAACCTTGTAGGTTAGTGTCTTCACAGCCCTGTCACCTCTCTAAGCATCCCTTAGTTAAATCAAATTAACAATAAATATTAACCATCACAGCTTAAAATTGTATAGATTCTTCTATGTACTAGAGTATATAAAATAATGTAGAAATCATCTATTACTAGAAATTCCCAAATTTCAGGCATACATCAATCTGGACCTGATGTTATTTTATTTTTACTAATATTACTTTATAGTATTGAACTTCAGTTTTTTTCTACTATGATTTTATACTCTTTGACTTTTAATTTTTCTACCTGTTCTTAAGGTCACTTTAACAATACACATCTTCCTAGCAGATTTACCTCTTCACTTAGATTTTAATATTCACTGCCATAACCTCACTTTTAGTGTTCTTATATTTTAACCATATTTATGGTATAGATATATTTTCTTTCTACGTACAATATAGATTATTGTACTTTTACATTTTGCCTTCATTAGAATATTCAGAGGTAACTCAAAGAATCATTCTTAAATTTATCCCAATATTCTAGATTTATTTTCTATTTTTATTGTCAGGACAGTCTTAGTTTATAATTTATTTACATACCTCTAAACTAGCAGGCTTACTAAACTAATTGTCACTATTTTTTAAATAAAATTAACCTTCCTTGATGATGGAGACTAGTAACTGCCCATTAATATCCGTTCTTCCTTATTCTATACTGAAGACATGGTACACTGCTGCCTAGATAGACTTTATACTGTCAGCCTCCTTTGCCAATCACGGACTTTTGGTCCAGGATTTTGAAGGACCGGGCATGCTTGCTCTATGCTCCATGTTTTGCCTGTTGGCTACCTGAGACTGGTACAGCAGTAGTCAAACTATGACCCTGCATGTGTGACAAGTCCTTGATCACTGCAAAGCCCTAAAATGTAAATAATCTCAGACACTAAAAGATAATGTAGTTCAAGACCATCTGCTGATCTGGAGTAATCATGCCAGATTTTCAAAAGATACACAGGTAATCTTTATTTTCAGTCTCAAAGTTTATCGTATGAGTATAACACTAATCTGGTTTTTATCAGCAATACACTTATTGCAAAATACTTTTTAGTGTGTCTTATTTCCTTTGTCACTTATGTGGTAGTTCAATTCAATTAAAATATATTGAACACCTGCCTCATCTCTGTAATACCCAGTGCACACCCAAGTTAAGGAACTAGTCTAGGTGCCTTTGAACAAATGTATAAGAAAATGTGGTATATGCACACAATGGAGCATTCTTCGGGCATAAGGAAAAATGACAGTTCTGTCATTTGCAGAAAAATGGGTGGAACTGGAGGACATTTCATTAAATGAAATGTCAGGACAAGAAAGACAAGTGCTGCATATTCTTTATCATATGGAAGATAAAAGAAGTCAGTGTGGAAGTGGAACAGTGATTAGTGTATATTGGAAAAAGTAGGTATTAGGGAAGGTGATAAAAGGTGATTAGCTTTGATTAGTGCTGTCTATACATGTGTATGTAAATATCACTCAGAACCCCATTAAAATGCACAATTAATACATATTAATAAAATAGTTAAAATTGCCCTTGTAAGAATTGTTTTAGTTGTATCTCCCAAGATTTAATAGGTGATGTCTTCATTGTCACAAATTAAAATATTTTGGGTTGCATTATGATAGTGTCTTAAGCTACAAATTATATAACAATATTATTTTAAATATTTGACTAAGAAGTTTTTGGAGTTTGTCTAGTTCTACTTTATTATGTGCAGAGATCACTTTTGAGATAATTACTTAGTTTTATGTCCTTTTGGGCCAAGTTTAGGATTAATTTTTTCTAAATGTCTCATGAGTAATTGAAAAAAGATTTCTTTTTTCTAACTGTTGGATGTAGCATTTGACTTATTCCTCTATGTGATATAATGTGAAAATTCAGATATAATTCATTTTGTTTATCCACTCAATGAATGTACACTTCAGTTGTTTCTGCTTTTTAGGATCACCCTACTATAAGCGTTCACATATGAGTTTTGGTATGAACATATTTTCAATACTTTTCAGTAAATAACTGAGAGTGTAATTACCTCCAAATCTTTGTTTAATCATTTGAAGAACTGTCAAACTGTTTTCCAGAGTGGATGATCATTTTACATTGATACCAGAGGAGAATTAGGATTCTGGTTTCCCTACATCCTCACCAAACTCATCTCTCACTTTTCTCCTCCTCTGCCTCTTCCTCTTTCCCTTCCTCTCTTGTCTTCTTTAAAATTATAGACATCTTGGTAAGCTAAGTGATAACTCATTTTGGTTTGGTTAGTATTTCTCTAATGAATGATGATGTTGAACAGATCTTCATGTTGCTTTTGGACATTTGTATATATTCTTTAGAGCAATGACTATCCAAATACTTTGACCATTTTTAAGTTAGTATTTGCTTTTTATTAATTTTTTCCTTGGTTGCTTTGTGTGTGTGTGTGTGTGTGTGTGTATAAGTATGTGTATGCATGTGGCATGTGTGTGTACTCATACATGTGAGCAGATCCAAGAAACCATTTCATAGCCCAACTTCACCAATATTTATCAATGCTTTCTTAAAAGAATTTTGTAGTTTAAATGCTTATGTTACCTCTTTAATTCAATTTGTGAAATGAGAATTCTTTTCTTCCCATTTGATGGCCTTGGAACTCTTGTTGAAAATTAACTGCACATCAATGTTTGAGATTATTACTAAAATCTCATTTCAATTCCAATCTTATTTATCTAATTTTAAGAGAGATGTGGTACCATCATGTACTATATATATTGATCTATTCTCCTTATATTTTGGCAAAAATGAGTACATAAGCATACTATATACATTTAAAAAATAAATCAAAGAGAAAAGTTCACCAAGTAAAGAAATAAATTCTTGAGTAGAGGAGGGTTTGCAATAGTAATACAGGCTGTGTAACTCATCACACTGCATGCCAACACCTGCAAATTTGAGTACAGGCTGCAGGTGCTGGGGGAGCACTGTGGTAGCCAGCACAGAAGTAGGTTCCTACATCGTCAGGCGTGGAGGCAGGGATGCTCAGGACACTGTCCTTCCTTGTTGCACCTATCTGAGCAGTCAGTTTCCCATTTCTCATCAATTCACCGCTCTTATACAAAGTTAGCAAGAGGACAGGACCTTCTCCAGGGCTCTGTTTGTACCAAAAGAAGCTGTTAAAAGTGCTTGAAGAGCTGCAGTTCATGGAGACGTCCTTGCCTTCCTGGATGGTTATAGACTGAGGACTCTGATTCAGCTGTTGACCACTCACCGCTGGTCAGAAAGAAAAAAGAAGGTGGTTAAGATGTGCTTTTATCCCTTTTCTGAGGCCCGTCACAGGTAATAATTTTATCCCTCAAATCCCCAGCCCCGACTCCATGCTTCTTCTTTCCCTCTCCGCTTCTCTAGATTTTCCTCTTTGTGACTGTGGGATAACACCTCACCTCTTGCCTTCATAGTTTCCATTTCTGGAGAATTCTCTGAGGAAAAACACCAGAAACCCCCACAACTCACGTGATAGTTGAATCCACAGGATCGTTAGTAAAACTTCAAGGAACATTTCCATCAACAAGTAATTATTTCCTAAATGGGTCTTTTGCTTCAATAAACTCCTCTGGGTTTAGAGCAGTAACACAAATACCATGGTAGTGTTGAAACACCTGTTCTGTGTATCAGTCAATTTAACCTCTCAAGGGGTTTTCCCCAGGTCTTTGAGCTAACCTCGAAAGTTAATTACGCATGGAGACACTGCCGCCCTGTGGCTAGACATTAGGTTCTGATCCTTTCCTGACCTGCTTTCAGGGTTTCATTTCATAATCCTCCTATTTCCCTTAATCACTTGATGAACACACTTATCCAGTACCCATGATATGACATGCTTGGGAAGTACAGACACATAAACAAGGCAAACAGGAACTCTGCCCTGGTCACCTATACGTCTCTCAAAAGTCAATTTAGGACACCATTTTAATTGAGTATGGTGGATTGAAGATATATCTGTATCTATAGCTGTCTATCTATCTATCTATCTATCTATCTATTTCTCTGTTCCTTTCTAAGAACCAACTGAAATGAGAATAAATTTTAAAAGATTAACAACAGTTGAATTACAAAGATTAATCCCAAGGTTCCACTAAGTAAACTCAATAGAAATCCAGGAGCCCTACCAGTGTCAATAATTAGGGCACCTGATACTTCAGAAAATCAGAGCAGAGGGTGGGGGCTGGGAATATTAAACACAGTGGGAAGAGTGAAAATACAGTTGTGTAAAGTGCAGCTACCAGCTCATATCTCCCACCCTGATCTGGAAAGCCTGATCATTTTCATGGAGGAAACTGCGTTTTCCTGAGACACTAGGTAAAGAAACACAAGAGTCTTGGGTATCAGACTTAGCTGAGAATAAAGTGAGGCAAATATATAAAGGTAGAGAAACTGAAGCCATCTTCCTTTGCTGCAGATTTGTATCTCATTATTAATGAATAAGCACCTCAGATCACTAGACATTAAAAAAAACCTCTTAACATAAATGGTAGAGACGAGAAAAAATGACTTCAACAGGGTCATGCACAAAGAAATTTGTCATTGTTTTTTAACACAGGGGTATGAATATTATGGGCTTTCTTTAAGTAAATGAAATAGTAGCAAAATCTCATTGTCAAAAATGGAATTTTAGAGAGTTTTTTTTAAGAATAAAAGTAATAAAGCTATTGTAAGAATTTCCTTCCTTCCTTCCTTGCCCTTTTTTTGTTTTGTTTTCAGTCCTGGAGATTAAACCCAGGGCCCCACATGCCAAGTGCCCGAGCAACAAACACCTCATTGCTTCCATTCTCATCCATATCAATGAGCTCCCGCTGTCTACTGGCCATGGCTTCTGTTTTGTATTTCATCGTGGTCTTCAGTTGTAAGGGAGCAGAAAATCTATGTCCAACGTCCTGAGTGGCCTTCTTTTCCTCCAGTTTCATGGTCAATTTTTCTGAGTGGTCTGGGTTTGCCTAAAACTTACTTCTGTGTGTGTGGGTGTGTGTGGGGGGGTGTGGGGGGGTATGGGTGTGTGAGTGTGTGTGTGGATGTGTGTGTGTGTGCATGTGTGTGCATGTGTGTGTGCATATGTGTGTGTGTGTGTGTGTGTTTACCTTGCTTATTGCTTTATTCCTGCTGTGCAGGGAATCACTGTTCTCTACCAAGTAAAAACAGATAGTCTTACATTTCTTCTTCATTTTAATGACTCTTCAATATTTTATTAGAAACACATATTTTTTAAAAAATAAAAACAGGATGACCTCAGTAACATAAAAGGCATTTGCATGACTCTGAAACTGTCTTAATGGAAGGTGGAAGACATAGGGATGACAGGGACCTTCCTAAAGAGTGGGAACCGCATCTTCCACCATACCTGCTGCTTCCTTCCGGCCTCAGCGGTGGTGGGTGCTATTCCAGTTCTTCATGATGCCCACTGCTTCAGCATCTGCATTCAAAGCACCTTGTTTCCCTGAGAATGCTGAGGAGACATTTCTATCCCCTGAAGTCTCCTGGACCAAGTAGCAGTGTATGAAGAATAACATTAAGCTCTAGACTAAACATGGAATAATTTTTCAGACATCTACTTAAGGTACTTTTGAGTGTGGAAACAAATGAGGATCTATTACAAGATGGATTTTGCATATTGAATATGACAGTTAAGAAAAATTTCACATATACAAGGGACTGTATCCCCCTGGCCTCTGAGAATACTGAGTCTCCTTGGAGGTTAGCTATATATGTAGGAATTTTTTAAAACACTGAGCCTATGAGAAAAACTCATATATGTCTTTGTAAACTACAACATCCTAAGTAATATAGTTGCTATACATTCCAAATTAATTGCTCAGATCATCATTTAATTGGAATTAAAAGAATCAAAAGTAACAAATTATTCTAGTGACCCTATTCAGAGAGAAAATCCTGCCTTTAAACGATGATTTTTCCATTTAAAGTTCTAAGAGAAAAAAAGATTTCTCTGAGGAACCTCAATAAAAATATGAAGTAGGTATGGGAGCACTATATTTGAGTATAACTTCAAGAAAACCAAATAGTTCTAGGGTTATAAATATTGTCTCAGGAAGATTTGGGGACCAAAATTTACAGATCCCTGAGTAGGGTCAGGAGCAGAATTGCCTACAGCATTCTAAGGGTGCCATAACAAAATACCACAGGTCAGGTGGCTTGAAAACAGAAATGCATTTTCTCAGTTTCTCTGAGTCCTGATCTAAGCCCCAGAACAAGGTTGGTGAGTGAGTGTAAGAAAGTGAGGGGAGAGAGAGAAGCAAAGAGGAGGAACAAAGGAGATGGGGAGACGGTGGAGGGGAAGAGTGCTTTCTGGAGTTTCTGGTGTCTCTTTTTACCAGGACTCCTCGGTGCTATTAGACCAGGGCCTCATCACCATGAGCCCATTTCAACTTAATTACCTTGAAGTCCTGTCTACAAACATACCCACATTAGGGTTAGGGCTTCAACATACAGTTCAGTCCATAATGTCCACATTCTATCATTTTCTGATATGCTTCTCAGAAGAGGTGAGTGCGAAGTGCGACCTGCTCCAGGCTTCCAGTGAGTGACCTGTACCATGAGAAAACTTGTTCTGTGTCAACTACTGAAAGAAGCGAGGAGAGACAGTGTCCTGTCACATCCACCATATCTCTGGAGCGGTCCTGGGCTCCAACGTATTGCTCTGGATTCCAGTTCTAAACAGTTTTCCTTAATGAGATTTTTTTCTGATGAGTTCAGAGACAATGATTTTTCTTCTACAATAAAGAGTAGTTGTCCTTGCTCCCACAAATCCTAGAGCTGGGTCCTCCTGTTTTTGAGAATATTCATGGGCTAAATTGGAGGAGTGGTTTCATTTGTGTCTGGAAGGCTGACATCAGGACTAAACCTTGTTTACATTATGTGTATTGGTATCTCTGACCAATGGTCCACATGGTACAGGTTTTATTCTATTAACAAAAGTTCTCCATGAAAAAAGAGACATAGGAACTATATTGTCTATTAGAAGGTTAATGAAAGTTAAACTGTTCCTGAGGCAGTAGAGTAAAAAAGTAATTGTTTAGGGTCATACATGTCACTCAAATACAAGTTTTTTTAATTTCAAATTCCATGACCTTGAGCATGTGACTCAATCCCTCTAAAATCAAATTCATCTGAAAAGTGAATAATATTTATTTCTTAGAGTGGTTGAGAGTAATGAGATAAACAGTGTACCTGATCCACTTCATATTAACATAATGTAAACTACAAGCATTATGCAGAAAACAAAGTGTACTGCACACTCATGAACCTTTTACAATCGTCAAAATATTTTCTGAGGTAAGTGTTACTACCTCTTTTTACTGATGAGAAAATTTGAGCCTTGGGGAGTTAAGTACCTTGTTCAAAGTCACACAATGAAGAAGGGGCAGACACGTGCTATTCCTCAAGTCTTAAAACTCTTCTCCCTTCTCTGTATGTTGCTGGGGATTGTATTTAGGTGACTCATTAAATTGGTTGCAGTTTATTTTTCTTCCTCCCCAAAAGAGAACTAAGATGTGGTAATATAGGATCATTTGAATCATGCTAGGATCTTCCTAAGTGTCTCTTGGATTTTCTTGCTAACTGGTGGTGGTCTGTTATGTCCTAGTTATTTTCTTTTCATATAGAACAGTAGAAAACAAGGGGTCAAAAGACTGTCATGTACACATCTAAAGAACCTTATCACATAACCCTTGAATCTCAGCTTTCTCATAGTAAAGTGAAGGAAAATGTATTTATCATTCTATTGCTTTTTTACTGTGCTAAAGGTAGGTATATATGGTTCTGTAAGTGTTAAGTATTATGTTCAGATTTGTTGCAATGATTGTTACATAACAGACATCTATCTGAATAGAAGTTACACTTCATTCTGTGTGGTGTCAAACAACAGAAATCTCTTTGTACTGTCTAAACTGTGTTATGTTTCTGAATAAAAAGCTGTTTCTAAAACTGCTTACACTCTGGTGCTTGCACCTACTTGACACACTGGCACCGAGCCTGTCTTTGGTTCAGAAATGAGGAAACCAATTTTGACAGTGAAGCTTCTTTTCTGTTCTGCGGTAACAGTTACTGAACATGAACCATTTGAGGCAAGTTTCTTTGAATCTCCTTCTCTAGCATTTTCTTTTCAAATAGAAATAGTACATGGAGAGCTAAACTACAACATTCCATAGAGATGAAAGTTATGCTATCTACCACTCCATTTTAGAAATCAGTGGGGACATGAGTATGGAATTGAGACAGTAGGAGAAGGTCTGAATTTACTGATTCCAAACCCTAGGCTATGTGTCGGCCAGAAGTGTTTTAGAAGGTCTCAGAGTACCACTGTGGTTCAGTGTAAATCAGGAGCCACAGAAGAGGAGGAAGGCAAAGGGCGAATGGTGAAGGAGTAAAGACAAATATTTTAGTGTTCCAATTCTCCTAAGACTGGCCTAAGTTCAACCCTTTTGTCCTGGATAGAAAAACAAAACAAGAGGGGAATAAAAGTGGTCTGCAAGATGCAACCTATTGAATATGGTTTGCTTCTCTTTGTAGTCACATGAGGTTAGGGCCCAGCTGGGAGCAGCTGCAGTCATGGCAGTGAGAAGGGGTTAGGACAGTGCTATTGTCAGGGTGGAAAATGCTCCTCTCCCTCCCTCCCTGTTCCTCCCCACCCCCAGCACTCCCAGCTCTGGTGGTATCAGAGTGGAATTAGCCCACACAGACAGAGCTAAAATTGATCAGCTAATTTCTCAACTCAAGATAGGGCACAGGGCAGCCCCTGAGGACTCCTAGGTCACTGAGTATAAAGACAATTTCATTTTGATGTCTATAATTGCCTTCTGAGACTACTCAGAGCTTGACATCAGCCTTTCCTAACAAACGTGAATTTACATCGGACATTTCCACCTCATATGAAGTGCTTCAATAATGAACAAACACAGTGGCACTGGCAGGGAGAAACTCATCTCCATTTTGTACCTCATTTGGCTCATAAAGACTTTGTTAGCTGAGCACAACCACACCATGGAAGGTGGGGTGTTACCCAGGCCCAATTTCCTGGTCCTCCTCTCTTTTTACTACCTCTACCTTAGAAGCTTCCCCAAAGGATGACTGGTAAACTGGATCTGTGCAGCTTTTCACAAGATATTCCAATCAGGCAGTAACTACAAAATACTGGCTGTAGCTCCAGGGTAGAGCCACCTAGCAGGGTAAAGGTGACACGGCCTCAAAAGCAGGTGTGTAGTGCAGACCAGGGGTACATGGAACACCGTGCCCCTCTTACCTTGAAGGGCATTTGTGGGTCTAAGAGCAAAGAGCGATAAGGTCCAGGGAGCTGAGTGGCCTTTTCCTCCTCTGCTTTGGAGCTCATTTCTCTCTGCTCTCCACATGCTTGCTTCCTTTATCTGACCCTGATGTGCTGGTGAACTGACTGACAGCCTGCGTGAGAAACCCCCAACTGGATGGGATCAGTGTGGTTCTGGCTGGGACTGAATGGACTTATTGAAGACAGAAGACACCCCAGGGCGGGTTGTTGCCTGAAAAGAATGAAAGGGAAACTGAGAAGGAACGCTTGCTTCTCTTCCTTCGGCAGACTCCAAGCTTCACCTGGCCCTTGGATGTCAACTCCTGGTTTCCAATGCAAACTCTTCAGCCTCCAGCACAGACCCTGCAGTCTCCTGAAACAGATTCCCACAGGACCCTGCAGTGAGCTCCAGGGCTTCGACTGGGTCCTTCTGATCTCCAGTGCATAGCCAGCCCTTTTGCATGCTTCCTTAATTAACTCTGTAGGCCATCATTGTAGGCCAATCCTACAATTTCTTATAAATGTGTATTACCTGCATTAAACTTACATTAAAACTTGCACTAAGTATATGTGTAAAACTTGCATTAAAGATTCTGCAGTAAGAATTGAGTCATGCAACTCCTAAGAAAGTGGTAGATTCTTCCCTAGACCTTCGACTAAATTTTATAAAGGTGGAAAAGTGCTCAAAGAATTATAGTTTAGCGGGGCATGGTGGTGCACGCCTGTAATCCTAGCTCTCAGGACACTGAGGCAGGAGGATCATTGTGAGTTCAAGGCCAGCCTGGGCTACAAAGTGAGCTCAAGGCCAGCCTGAACTGCATAGTGGGACCCTATCTCAAAAAGGAAAAAAAAAAAAAAAAAAAGAAGAATTACAGTTTAGCTTTCTCCTTCCGAACAAGAGACAGAGGTTCTAGTTTGATGAGCAGCTAGCCAGTCTGTGACAGAGAGTTTGCTCCTTTGTTTACCAAATATCTACTTTGTTTTTCCTGTTACGTGTAACCCTTTGCTGAGGGAGAAAACCTCACCTGCCAACCTGGTCACTAAATCCTCATGAATATCTTATATGATACACAACTCACTTCACCGGAGTGGGACTCAGTTTCCATTGGGCTGGAGACTATGAACTAAAACTGTTTTCCCTCAACTCTCCTCTTCAGAAAGAATAGACATTTTAAAATGATGGAGGAGAGGGTCTATCCTACTCCGCTGGGTGTGGTGTCACACATCTAAAATCCCAGCACTTGGGAGGCAGAAGGGTTACTGTGAGTTCAAGGCCAAACTAGATTACAAAGCAAGACCCTGTGTCATAACAAACAAATCCTACTGTAGAAGGTGAAGGAAATTTCTTCATAAGTTTATAGTGGCTACAAGAAAATTTCTTACTGTTATCGACAGTTCTTGAATCTGCCCTTGGGAGAATGTTCCCTGCTCAGTATCCTTCTTAGGTCTTATATAAAAAGGGCCTTGAGGAGAATTCCAGTTTTAGAGCCTTACATGTTTCACAGCTCACTTTCTGTTTAAGGAAGATTGGAGCCCAAGAACGGTTTTAAATTTGAGGCTTCTGAAATTTGAGTATGTGGCTATTTATGAGTTTTAGTCATTTGTTCTATTGCTCATAGAGACATAGATTTTAAATTTCCTTGTATATTTTTAGACTTGCCTATTTCTTCTTAAAATTAGAGTGCAGCCATATCATGGTCAGTTTTCCTGATTTTAGCTAAAGAATTTTGGTTGACTTGATATTATTATTTGTTTAATATTGAAAATACTATTTTCAATACAGTATTTAAGCACTATTTTAAATACAGTATGGTTTATAATTAATTAATAGAGAACATATGCATTCTATAGCTTTACTTCATCCTGCCATGAAACATATGAATAAAATAGTATGAGTGTGTCCACTTTAAGATAGAACATTTTCGTAATTACTTTCTCATTGCTGGGACAAAATACCAGACAACCACAAGCTAAAGGAAGAAATGTTTAAGAGGAGAGGAAATGACTTACAAACTTATAATGACTTAGAATGACCAGATGGGCTAGTTTCTAGACTGTTTTAGATTCTCTTTAAAAATGTTAATTATTTCTCTTTATCCTGCGATCATACCAGTTATTCAAATAATATTCTTAAATACTTGCTTTGGGCGAGCATTATATAAGGTATAGAAGTGGAGGACTGTAGTAGATTGACAGCTGGTGGTCAACTTATAACCCACAGCTGAACTCAGTAAATGTGATGCTGGGTGTGGGAGGCCACCTGAGGATTGTTGCCTGCAGCATAAGAGGAGAAGGAGAGAAAGGCTGTTGGGAGCTGAGAGAGGCTGTTGGAGCCGGTAGAAGCTGTAAGGAGCTGTTGGTTGTTTTGGAGGAGCTCGTCATGCTGGTTTTCCTGATGAACTTGGTTGTTTTCATCCTCCGATGAGCTCAGGACCTTGTGCACACTGAGAATGGCTTTGGTTCACTTTGGGGGAACTCTGGTCCTCACTTTGAGCACCACTTCCTCGCTCCAGAGGGGAGCATGGTGCACTGCTGGTCTCCTGGAGAGGTTTGCTGCGTTGGCTTTCCTGATGGGAACTCAGCCATCTTGATCATCAGAGGAGCTCGGGACCTCACTGCTGCTGAAGATGCTGTGGTACCTTTCAGGAGAGCTCTGATTTTCCTGAGCATCGCTTTCTAACTCCAGTGCAGATCCCTCAGCCTGCTAGCGCAGATCCTTCATCCTGCTGGCACAGACTTCCTAGCTTCCACCACTGACCTTTGGGCCTTCCCAGCACAGAGCCATGAAACAGGTCTGCATGAGATGTTGTTGTGGGCTCTGGGCCTCCAGTTGGATTCACGGGAGGCACTGTTATGAATTCAAGGTATTTAGCTGGACTCGTGCAGGACATTACCATGGGATCCAGGCCCTCAGCTGGATTCCTTGGTCTTAGTGTGTAGACAGATTTCCTGTGCTCTTTTGTATATCATTCTTTGGGTGACTATTATAAATAATCATATAAAATATATGTCCTGTGATATATTGTGCCCCTTGCAAAAATAAGCCCCAAACCAACACAAGGATGAAGGTAAGATCTTGACCATGTCATATTAGGACAAAATGGAAAAGAGTTTCAAGCTAGATTATAATTCATAGTACTCAAGGAAATAACAGAGAACAGGACACAAATGAAAGCATGGTGAGAACTGGAGGTGAATCCAAGCCAGGATTAGATATTTACTCTTACCATCCCGTCTGTTATCCATTTCCTAATTCTACATCTATAATACAAACTTAGAAAAAGAATTACCTGTAACTTCTCCCAGGGTGCAGCATGTTTCCTACTCTGATCGCTACAGCTTAGTCTTAGCTTGCTGCCGAGAACCTAAGAATGACTCAGGGTGCCTTTTGAGGAACCAAGGGAAAAAATAGCCGAAGAGAAGCAGGCTCCTTGGGAAAATGCTCCTATGTGCATTTATTACATCAGTTACTGAAATTTATACCATTCTCATGCCCGCATAATGTTATAGTGACCAAAAAGTGACATAATGACAGACAATACAATCAAATTAAATTTGTGCTGAAAAATATATCTCCCCTTTTTATCATTCCTACTTCCTTCCCTGTTTTGCTTTCAATGAAACAATTGCACCCATTCCGGCTTCTTTTTGGCCGTGTCCCAGCAACCCCCCAGCAACCCTGTGTCAGGACAGCATCTGTGCCCCAGCTGCAGGTTTGGGGACAGCTCGCAGAGGCAGAGACAGCACTGTGCATTTCCCGCACAGAAGTAGGTGCCTGCGTGTCTGGGCCGGGCGGCTGTGATACGCAGGGAACTTTGCTGCCTTTTCTCGTCCAACTTGGCAGTTATGTTTCCGTGACTTTTCTCATCTCTGCCTTTCTGTAACATCATCAAGAAGACAGGACCTCCACCGCTCTGTCTATACCAGTGTAAGACAAACAAAGCCGTTGACGAATTGCAGGTTACGATGAGATCTTCTCCCTCTTGGACGACCTGAGACTGACTCTGCTGCAGCTCTTGGCTGCTGACCCCTATTCAAAAAGAGTAAAGGAAACATAGGCAACTCTCATAGAGTCCTCATGATCATAGCAGGAGGGTGAGTCTCTTCCCCCTTCCCCATTCCCCAGGCAGTAGAACAAATTAACACAGAGTACTGTCTGTTTTTCTCAAAAGGCCCACCCAGGACAGGAGATGACTCCATGTGCCTGCCTTTAGGAGGCTGTCAGCAACTCACAACTCCCAGATGAAGCACAGACTTACAGGCTGCTTGCAATCCCAACATCCCCACGAGCACGTGCAGGACAGTCTCCATCTCTTCGCTCCCCTGTAAAGACACTGAATCTGGTTGTCCTGAAAGCCTTCTCAGTAGAAATTTCTTTAGCTCATTGGTCCAGGATGCGGCACCTGAGTGCCTGCCTGTCAGCAGGGCCGGACCTCACTCAAATACTTTGCAGTTACACACTGCCACCTTTTGGCTAGATAGAGAAATGCTGAGTAATGGATAACTTTTCTGGAGTTTATATATATTTTATTTCCTGGAGTTTATATATATTACACCTATTTATTGCAATAAACTATTTGATTTATTATGAAAGTAAAATTATTCATTTACTCTGCTGGGCTTGAGAAAGTTTCAGCTTTATAATTAAGACAGTGAAGAATTCTGTCCTCCATCTCACAGAATCATTATTTTCATTTGATTTTATGTGTTATTTCAGTTTTTTTAGAAAATTACTTTATTAAGGCACATTTGACATACAATAAATTGCAATATTTAATAAGTAAAACTTGGTAATTTTTGATATAGGCATACAAATGTACAGGCACCGTCACAGCCTTGGTGACGAACACCCACCCCATCCAAAGCTCCATCATGACACCACCCATTGTGCTCCTCTATCCCTCTGTGAACCTCCCCCGATCCTCCCGATCTCAAGACAGTTTCTGATCTGCTTTCTCAGTTTTTATCAAATTCCTGCCACTTAGACAATTTCTTTATCTTGGTCTGTTTCTCACACGTACAATAGGAGCAGTGAAATTCATCTGACAGATTCTTTGTGGTGATTCCAAGATGTGATATCTCACGAGAGACAAGCCATATGAGTAGCACATGAGAGCTGCTCCATGGATGTTGTAGCTGAGACTGAACTCTGTTTTCCAGAAACTCCTGTCTATTGGTCCCTTAGGACCCAGGACACAGCTTTCATTCTCCTCAGCTTGGTCCTTCAGATGTTTGAAGACAGCAGCAATATTCACTGGAGCGCACTCTACATTTTTGTTTTTTCATACATTTTTATTAGTGCTTACTAATTTTACAAAATATTGGGTTTCAATGTTTGAACTATATTTTGCCCCTCTCTCCATCCATGAACAACATTTATACCTGTTTCTCCTCCCCCATATCCCTTTTTCTTGTGTAATCATAGACTCCTCCCCTTCCTTCATGTCATCTTTTTAGATCCCACATATTAGGCAGAGCATGTGACCCTTTCTGAGTATGGCTTATTCCACTTAACATGAGGATCTCTACTTGCATCTCTTTTCCTGCAGATGACTTATGATTTTCCTTATGGCTAGGTAATACTCCATTGTGTGCATATACCATCTTTGTTATCCATTCATCTGTTGATGTACACCTAAGCTGACTCCATATCTCAGCTATTGTGAATTGTGCAGGTGCCCCTGTAGTATGCTGACTTTAATTCATTTAAGTATACACCGAGGAGTGTTATAGCTAGATAAGATGATCATTCTATTTTTTAGTTTTTTGGTGAATTTTCATAGTTGCTGTAGTAATTTACAGTTCCACCAGCAGTGTACAAAAGTTCCTTTCCCCTCACTTCCTTACCTGCATTTATTGCTTTTCATATTCTTGATAATAGCCATTCTGACAGGAATGGAATGGAATTTCAATGAAATTTTCAATTTCATGTAATTAATAGCTAAAGATGTTGAATATTTTAATGCATGTATTGGCCATTTATACCTCTTCTTTTGAGAAGTGTCTGTTCAATTCACTTGCCCATTCAATGTTTGGGCTACTGGATTTTTTGGAGTTAAGATATTTGAGTGAATTATATATTCTAGATATCAATCTTCTGTTGGAAGAGTAGCTGGTAAAAATTTTGCCTCATTCTATAGGCTTTTTCTTCACTCCTTTGGTTGTTTCTTTTATTGTGCAAGAATTTTAAATTTGATGTAGTTCCACTTGTTAATTTTTGCTATTTTATCCTGTGCTGTTAGAATCCTACTCAGAAAGTTTTTACCTGTATACATGGATTCAAGTGTTTCTAATATGGCTTTTTTTTTTTTTAGCAATTTCAAAGTTTCAGATCTTATACCTGAAGTCTGTACAGGGTGAGGGATAGAAGCATATTTCCCATCTTCTACCTATGGACATCCAGTTGTCCCCTGCAACATTTATTAAAGTGGCTGTCTTTTTCCAATATATATATTTTTGTTCCTGTGTCAGGAATTAGATTTCTGTGGTTTTGTGGATTTGTTTGAGTCTCTTCCAATCTATTGGTCTACATGACTATTTTTGTGCCACTGCAATGCTATTTTGCTATCATGACTTCTAGTATAATTTGAAATTGTGTATTCTGATGCCTTCAGCCTTGTTCTTTTTGCTTAGAATTACTTGGCTATTCTGGGTTGTTGGTGTCCCCAACCCTTTTTAAAATATATTTTTATATCAAGACATGGTCTTGTTAGATTGTTAAGTTACCCAGACTGGGTTTTAACTTTTGATCCTCCTATCTCAGCCTCCCAGAGTGCTGGGGTTATAAGTATGTTCCACTGAACCCAGCTTATTTGTTGTACTGTTTAATAAGGCTAAGAAAAAATAAATCATGGCTACACTAGGACATAATTCCAAGCTTGAAACCTGAGTTGAGTTTGGGAAACCAAGGAAAAAAAATTTCAAATATTATTTATCAAGGGTGGAAGGAAGAAAAGGGGTAGAGTGTTTGCAGGAGGCAGTACACACATCCTCACAAGGAGGGGCAATACCTAGGCATGCAAAAGTGACAGAGGAAATCATTAAATGATGGACCCTTTTAAAATTGAAGTTCCCTTGAAGTGCATATCCTAATGGCAGTCAGACTGACAAGGAAGAGAAAGCAGAACTTTGAAAGCTTATGGAGAAAAGTAAGTTTCTTCATAGCAAAGCTTCATTCAGGTGTTAGATATATCATCCAAACCACTGAAACCTGAGGATGGCAGAAATGTAAGCTACCGAATGGTTGGGACCAAAGCCCCAAAATGTCTTCACCACATAATGTAGAATCAATCAATCATGGAGAAAAGAAAAAGACATTGAAGGAGTCAAACTTTATGTCACTTACATCTTACCCTTGAGAACACAGGCTTCTAGATCATGGAATATGAAAATTATGTCTTACAAAAAGTTTTCCAGATCAGTTTATTTAAAGTTAGTGGACCAAAGCACACTGGAAAAGTGTCTAACCATTTCTAATAAATATATCTGCAAAGCATGGGTCAGGTTATAATTGTGGTTTGACTGGTGCAGGCATTAAAAGACGTTAACCCTGTACTGCAAGGGGAAGAGACTTCCTGCCATGTCTACAGCACAAGTTTGAGAAGCAGCCATATAATTTGGTCAAAAAATTACCATAATTACCATTATATTAAAAAATCGGGTAAAATGGTGGAAGGGAATATCTGCACACATACAGCAAAACTAATTTCATCATTATCCAACATTGCCACTCTCTAGAAGAAGATAAAGATTGAAGCAGGCTAAAAACTAAGTCATCCAGAGCTCAGGTCTCCCACACTGGAGCCTAGAACAAAACAGTGTCTCTAGCATCTTCTAGGTGGACACTGTCGGATGTTTCTACTCTTGAGCCAGGCACCAATGAGTTGCATAGCACCCGCTCCTAACCCATATGGGAACCTCTCTAACACATATTTTTTCACCTATTGCCTATTTCTAGGAGTGATATACATTCATGAATAAGGGAAAAAGAGAATGTAGGGATGAGAGAAGATTTGGAGAAGAAAATGAAATGATGTCACTCGACAGGAGAGGTGGAAGTAAACATGAAAGTAGTCACATGGCTCTTCTCAAAAGCTACTGAAATGGGAAGAAAGTCCAGAGAAGGAATACACTGGGAGAAGGCTTCTCTCGCATGCATGAGGGCCTGGGATTGACCCCAGCACTATATAAAAAGTTTAATAAATAAATTTAATTTAGGAAAAATAAAGAAATTGAAAAAAATATTTAAAATTACTCCTACCTCTCCACTACAATATCTGTGGTTGCTGGTTTACTGTAGGTATAAATGTTTGGTCATTTAAAATTGAATTCTCTCTCTCCCTCCTCCCTCCCTCTTTATTAATTTATTTATTTATTTATTTATTTGCAAGACCCTGAGGATTGAACTTAGGATCATGCTCCATGACAATCAAGTGCTCTGCCACTGAGCTACACCCCAGCCCAAGTAAGACATTTCTTAGACGGGGCCTTCTTATGTGTTCTAGGATGGCCTCAAATTGGTGGGTTCTAGTGTTCCTCTCCCCTCATCTCTCCAAATAGCTGGGACTGTAAATATGTGCCACCACACCTAGCTCTCTTAATTTCCATGGGGCCCAGATACTTGTTTACACTGGCAAAGGGCTTACCATGTCTCTGAGGCTGAGAGCATGCTCAAGAAACCACTAGAAATAGAAAATGACAAGTGGATAACTGTGAGTACAACTCATCCACATTTCTCCCTGCCCCTACAAGGAGCTTGCATGTGTAGCTGTGACGGCCCCTCATGCGGAACTGGGGGCTGAACTTCTTTACTTAGAACTGGGCATGAACTCAGCAGGTTTTCAAATGTGTTTCAGATCTTTAAATATTTTTAATATGCTCCTTCTACTAGTGGCAAGCCTCAAAGAAGAGCTCCCTGTCATAGTACTTTAAAACTAAATTATTTTCTGTCACTTTGGGTAGTGAGTACTCTGTGATTTGTTCTCAATTTTTGAATTCCATTTTTGAAACCACCTATAATAATATATATTTTTTACTTCTTTTCTCCTTTCCTTCATCTCAGTTGTTCTTTCCTTTTAAGCAGTTTCTTTCCCTTTCACAGTATCTATTGTACCTTTTGGATTTTATTTACTCTTTCAGGTTCTTACATTAGGGAGACAACATGATGTGTATACATGTGAGTCTTTTCATTCTTATTTATATTCATTGTAAAAAAGATCTTGGAATTTTCCCTACCTAAACCAATGTGAGTGCTAATAGGAAGTGGAAGAAATACCACACATGAGATTGGTACCCTCTTGTTCCCAGACATGGAGGGATCAAAGGATTTAATCCACCTTAAGTTCACAGCTTTGTATTCATGTTCAGGAGG